ACCCCAGCCAATAAACACTAAACCAGGAAATACTGGCTGTAAGTAAGGTACGACATGCTGAAATTCTGAGATCAAGTGTAAGAACTTTGAAAGCCAATAAATCAGCATTGTGACGAGTGACTATTAATCCGAAACACTGAATGCTTATCACAAACACAATTAGACACACCCTGGTCAGATCTGTCGTTATATCAACCCTTCAGGCCTCCACTGAATGCCACAAAGAACTGTCATGTTTTAAGCCCATCTGGCAACCCATAACCACACAGCCTCTCAGTCACTCTCCTACTTTTCCTCCCCCCGTTCCTGAAGGGATGAGGAGGAGAAACAAAAGAACGTAACTCCCATGAGTTGAGACAAGAACAGTCTAGTAACTAAGGTATAATCCAAAACTACTGCTGCTAGCACCAATAACGATAAGGGAAATAACAAGGGAGGAGAATACAACCGCTAACCACCCACCAAACAATACCCAACCCAACCTGAGCAGCAATCTAGCCTTCCAGGTAACTGCCCTCAGTTTATATACTGGGCATGACGTGCTGTGGTATGGAATACCTCTTTGGCTAGTTTGGATCAGGTGTCCTGTCTCTGCTTCCTCCCAACTTCCCCTCCTCACTGGCAGAGCATGAGAGTCAAAAAGTCCTTGGTCAGAGTAAACATTAGTTAGCAACAACTAAAACCATTGGTGTTATCAGCGTTGTTCCCAGGCTGAAAGTCAAAAACATAGCACTGCACTAGTGTTGTGGTTTAAACTCAGTCAGGCAACTTGTTCACTCACTCCCAGTGAGTAGTGCCAGGCTGACAGCAATCGAGCCCCCCCCCCCCCCCCCCCACCGAGGCTCTCCCCTTCCCCGCTCCCAGAGGAACGGGGAGGAGGATCGAAAGAGTGCAACTCCTACGGGTTGAGACAAGAACAGTCCAGCAACCAATGTACAACACAAATCACCACCGCTACTACCAACGACAATAATGATAAGAGAAAATAACAAGGGAAGAGAATACGATACCACCGGACAAGAAACGAGTCCCACCTGGAAGCCCGTGTCCTACTGGGTAACTCCCAGTTAACCCCCACCCCGGGCATGACGTGCTGTGGTATGGAATACCTCCTTGGCTAGCCTGGGTCAGGCGCCCCGTCTCTGCTTCCTCACGGCTTCCCCTCCTCCCTGGCGGAGCATGAGCCTCGCAAAGTCCTTGGTCAGGGTAAACATCACTTAGCAACAACCGAAAAACATCGGTTTCACCAACACTGTTCCCAGGCTGGAAGTCAAAACACAGCACTGCACCAGCTACCACGAAGGAGAAACATGACTGCTACTGCTGAACCCAGGACAACTAGCTACTAAGAAAGAGAAAAAAGACTGCTACTGCTGAACCCAGGACACACCACAACCATTCTCTAGTGCAGAAGAAACAGGTATCATTGAAGAGAAGGTATTCCAAAGGTTCTCAAAAATATTTTCATTTCACAGACTGTTGCCTATAAGTTAAGGCTCTCATTAATTTCCCATGCTCTGTGGGAAGATGAGCCAACTCCGGCTACCACAACTATGCAAGCCTCTTAATGCAACTCAGAATATATACTGTCACTCTAAAAAGAATATTAAGATCAACTGCTGAGTAAAATCATATCCAGACTCACTTGAGCCAAACACCTGAATATGTGTGGTTGGCAGGACTCACTTATGCTCATTATTTCACACATGCCTACACAGAGATCTTCAAGACATCAGATGTCTGGAACCCTGCCTTCCTTTCTTATCTCACATCATGATTCAACAAACATTTCCAGCCAACAAACAGACAGCAATGCTTAACACAGTGGTTCTGCCTTCTTCCTACCCCCATCACTTGTATTCTAGTCCTTCCCCTGCTCAAGCACAGATGTTTATGCAGCAAGAGTTTGGGAAAGTCACTCTATTAGCTTCTACCTAAGTCATGTCACTGTGTATGAACATTCATGCCTTACACAAGAGGAAGGAGTGAGAACAATCAGCTGTGGATGAAGGAAAGTCTTCTCCAGCTTGGCACTGCTGCTGAATCCACTCAGACAACAGCAGATGCAGTTACAGATTTGAATGATGAAGGTAACATTCAGAAAGACACAGCTAATTGCTTAAGAGAAACTGGGCTGGATAACAGAAATTCATAGGAAGACTGATGCAAACAACTCGGTGACTTATTTCTGGATAGCAGTTCCCCACACAAAGACAGGCACTCAGAATAGGCTAGAAATAATGACAGCTATGGTCCTTCAGTGAAAATGAAATAGCATTCAACTCAGGATAAGCCTCTTGCTTATGCTGAAACTGCTTAGTAAAATCTCATTTTAACATATTGCACTAAGGCTAGTTATTTAGCTGTAAATGAAAGTTTCTTGCTCTTTTTGCTATCACTGTGTATTATGAAACTATATTTCTTCCTTAACAGAAATTCTGTTGCAGTGTTGCACAACAATTTTCATAACTTCAGTTTTCATAATTACATCGTAAGAGTCTCTTCTGTTAATAATTTACTACTCAAAACACTGTGGCTTTGAGTGTAAGTATTTCCCAACAGGAACCAGCTTCAATTTCCATTTTCAAGTCTCTTCCATCAGTAAATTGCTACTTTGACTACTTGGGACTAGACCGTCCTTTTAATATCCTTGGAATGGATTTGTAAGCCAATAAGTTGGTAGTATAATCAAACAAACTTTTATCTATTCGGTAAACTTCTGTAGTGGTAAGTCTGTGTCAAAGACGCAGATTAACAGAAACAAAGACAATTAAACCAGATATCCAACTGTTGATTAAAACAACAGCAGATGATGGCCCAGATGTACCCAAGGGACTCTGCAAGACTTGTCTGAAACCTATATAGTTGTTAGCTCCAGGTCTAACAGATAAGCACTGTCCACACAGAGCACAGCCCAGCTGCACAGGTTCTAGCCTCTCTAATACTCCAGCTTGTTTGTTCATATGCAGAGCTCAACATAAGATGTCTTCATTTAGGGCTACTTCCAAATTAGTATGGCCTATCAGGACGGAAGACATGGAAAACACTTTACAAAGATACCTGCAAAATCCCTGTAGGAACCAGCCTAAATCCAAGATGAGGAAATTAGCAAGATCCAACCTAGACTCAGCAGAGGCTCTCAGGTGTCCCCCTACTGCTTCCCATGAACACAATGCCAATGAACAGACTGCACAAAGCTGTTCGGGATCCCCAGAGATTAACAGCTTACATTTTGCCACAAGAAAGCAGCTGTGCTGCTCCTAACCCTAGGCCCACTGAGCAGCTGGTACAGCTGTGTTCATGTAATGCTCTACTGGAACTAGTAATGCCAGCCAGAACCAAACTCATTGCACAGGCAGGAAAGACTGCTACCTGCATCCATGCAAAAGCTAAACTATAACACAGAGAAACTAGCTAAAGATAACTCTGTACTTGACTATTTATACATTAAACTTTTTCCTTCACACTCCAGATACAAAAGCCTACTGGCATCTGAGAGAAGAACAAGACTTCAGTGGCTGAGTATTTGACGGAAATAGCTTTGCAGCCATAATGTTCACAAAGATAAGTGACATACCCCGAGACATTTAATTTAGAAGCCACAAATTTACAGAATAATTTGAGAGACCTGACAAGACTACATTCTGTTCTTTTGATGGGAACTAACTTAGAGACTTAAATTTAATATGCTACACAATTCAGTATCATTCCTCACACCTAGAGAGCCACCAGAAACATGTGCATATTTAAGTAAGTCTTAATTATGCAGACATATCTATTTTCAACTCTCACACAATAAACATTACAAATGCATATCCACAGCTTCTGAAAAGTCAAAAGACTGAGAATTGAAAATGCATATGTCATGGCTTAAGCCCAGCCAGTAACTCAGAACCACGCAGCCACTCGCTCACTCCACACACATCCCCTCCCCTCACTCTCAGAGGGATGGGAAGGAGAATCAAAAGAATGTAACTCCCACGGGTTGAGATAAGAACAGTCCAGTAAGTAAGGGATAACACAAAACCACTACTGCTACCACTAATAATAATAATAATGATAAGGGAAATAACAAGGGAAAAAACCACAACCTCTTACCACCCACCTACCAATACCCAGCCTGACCCGAGCAGTGATCTAGCACTTCTGGTTAACTCCCCTCAGTTTATATACGGGGCATGACGTGCTGTGGCATGGAATACCTCTTTGGCTAGTTTGGGTCAGGTGTCCTGTCTCTGCTTCCTCCCAGGCTTCCCCTCCTCCCTGGCAGTGCATGAGACTCAGAAAGTCCTTGGTCAGAGTAAACATTACTTAGCAACAACTAAAAACATCAGCGTTGTTCCCAGGCTGAAAGTCAAAAACACAGCACTGCACCAGCTACAAAGAAGGAGAAAAATGACTGCTACGGCTGAACCCAGGACAATTTACTACCTCTTCCATGTCACGTTTAGTTCAAATTATCATTACTTCTGTCCTTATTAAAATGAATCTTCAATAAGCAGAAATGCATTTAAACAATTATGCATACAACCTTGCAAAAATAATTTGCCAATTCACATATAACTTCAAATGGCATATGACAAGGACCAGAAGGCACAAATTAAAATTAAAAAAGTACAGATGAGTTTTAAACTAAGATTGCAGGAGTCATTTCTTAAATCAGCTTCTTGAAATTTCCTTGAGATTCTTCCCCTTGCCCTGCATTATCATTATGGTACAATAACTAGAATAATGCACAGGAAAACATATTCACAGATGAAAAAGTATTTAAGACACCACAGCATGATTATTTTTAGAAACTCTTGAGTCTCTTGCTTCTTTCCCCTCATCCACATTAATTTCTGCCCACAATATATTATATTTATTAAATACTCTGCAATGGATGAATTTGAAACTTTACTGGATACCAAAACAACTCATGGGAACAAAATTAACACATAAATATCAGGAACATTATTCCAAGACTCAATCTGCGTAACTGCTTTAAAACTATGGCATACCTGCAATGGTGTGCACGTTCAGGTTTGATACTACGGCACTTTGGACATTTGTAGATCACCTCTCCTGGTTTCAGTTGCAAATTATCCATGTATTCTTTAGTGGCATTTCCTTTGGGTACAGCCCCCTGAAATAATTTCAATTAAAGGAGAGAAAGCTTCTTAAATGGTCTGAGAGTGTTTAAAAATACATTTTATAGACTTCATATTAGTAATCTCAGGATAACTGATGAAATAAATTAATTTATTCTAAGCTAGTCCACCATAAACCAGAAAAATTTCCAAATGAATAAATTCCCTCTGCTTGACCTCAAATTCAGTTTCATTTCAGCAAGACTTATCTATGGCCAAGCATTAGCATAATTCTGATAAAATCTACTGTCACCAGCATACATAAAATGAAGACATCTTTACATGCAGATACAAGCCCTACAGGTAAAATATTTGTTGGAAAGTTACTCTGAACGAGTGCTACTGAGAGATGCTTTCTTACAGCAGCGTATGTTAATTGTCATGATGTTCAATTATTAGGCAAAGACATCTACAAAACTTAAATCAGCAACAACTGCTTGAAAGATGTTACTTCAAGTCTGAATCCAAGATTTAGCCACCTGCCACATGTATACAGGTTTTTGAGAACCAACAGTCATCCTTGTTTCTTTTATACTTAAGCTTTTCGCTTGGACACTGTCAGTATGAACTACTGGCTTCTTTATTCTACATCTAGTGTCACCTGCTGCCTTCTGCTACTGTGAAAGTTTGTGTAGCTACATGGTAAACAGTTGAAGGAACTATTTCCAAAAGAAAAAACAATCCATCAGGAAAATACATTATTTTTTAGTGATTAGTTTTCTGAGCTGTTCACCACAGAGCTGTGTTAGCAGCTGTTTCAACACAAGGAAGATGATGAATGGACAGGAACAACGGGCAGGATTGCTTCTTCCAGTAACAATATCAATCGAGAGCCTCACAAGATCAGAATCTATCTTTAGATTAGTAAGAAGAAAATAATGGACATTACCACTGTCACTTTGCTTATTTATAGAGCTAAAGGCTTACCTGTGACAGGAAGTAATCATGAAATAAACCGGGATGTGAAATGAAAGCATAATGGCCTTTCTGTACCAACTCCTGTAGGCCAGCCCCTACTTCACACAGAGAGCGCCTTCTCCTGGTTGGCTTAAATCATCTGCAACACTCTATAATTATTTCTCATTCAAAAAAAGCCCACTGGCAACATCATGACTTTACAGACACACCTTAAGGAAGTTTTATGGATAGAATTAAGAAACCAGCATGCACTTAAGATTCAACTGCAAAACACCTCTCTACTTTGGCAGAAAGTTTTTGTTGCCTATGACCTGGAATAACAATCTTGTGTTTGCACTGCCTGAGACACAGCCCAAGTTCTGCCCTAGATGAACCCTTTGGTTAAGTGGTGCTTCAAGCAAGCCAGCTGGCCTTTGCAGGGACATGAACTAAAAGAGTTTCTTAAACTCTCATCTTGTATTGCTGAAGTGTTTTTTGCAATATGAATGCTCTCATTGAAGTGAATACTTTGGTGTAAACATGGTGAATTATCTCAGAGAGAACTCCTAAAGCACAAATTTATCTTCTTCCAGGTAGATTTGTGTTTACAAAACACATCTCACATTCACCTGTTCACCTGTCTAAGGATAATAAATTCAGGCTGTACTTTTGGCATTTTGCTGATAAAAATATGCTCTATTTCAAAAATATCTTCCATAGTCTGATGGTCACAAGTTCATTTCAATTAAAAAAAAAAATTTTAACAGTCATAATCAGAAAGATAATTCACATATGTTTTGAGGCAGTTTACTCCTTTTTTCCTTCAATCTTAATTTTTATCTCACGATCATGTCTTCCATTCTGGGAGTCACCAGGAAAGGAGTGGAGGAAAAAAAAAAAAAAAGGTAGCGATTCATCTCAATTTCTATCATGTTTTATCCATAAAGCACAACATAGGTCTAGAAAGACACACAGTTTTACCAGGACATATTCTTAAACAATGTATCCTTAAACCATTAACTTTCTTAGCTGTTGCATTCTGTAGAAGTCTGAACATTTCTTCACTGGGTGTGGGCTCAGAAGTACATCAAAGACCTAGGAAACCATTAACTACAACACCCTGCTGGTTTTTTGAACACTCCCATAACCGCTGTATACACTGTTGCCATCTCAAAAATCTGGAGAAAACAGAAGTGCTTCCTCTCACTTCTCTCTCTACAGATTTATTCCCTTGAGAGTAATAGATTAATACAAAATAAACTATTTAATCTCCTGAGCTCTTGAATTGAAGAGTAAAAGTCCTAAGAAATGAGTAATTTCAAGACCTCTCACACATATACTCTTCCAGTATGGGTTCAACTTAAATCTCCCTTCCCACTGACTACACATATCTAAACACAATAATCACAAAATCATGTGTGCAATTATGTGACTGAGGTTTTTCAGCATGTCTACCTCTAAAAGTTCTTTCATGTGCCATAAATGTAAGATACATTTGAAATAATACAAGAGGGTGAAGCTACAACTTCTTATGAAGTTTTGAAAATATATCTGACAAACAAAAGTAAGAAACATTAGGACAGAGAAGACTAAAGCTCTATCAGCTTCTTCAAAACCTGGGCTAATATTTTACAATTAAACTAAACTTCTTGTGAGCCTACATCCCCCTCTTATGTTAATTTTATACTGCCTGCTCCTCAAGTCAAAAATTATTTAAGGTTTCAACAGAACAGGAAAAGCATGGATATCATCCCTTCACCTTTAAGGTTCTGAACCTAATACTGCTTTTCCTGCCAAGAGAAGACTGATGTCACTTTTCCACATCTCTGCAGACAATGAACTACATGAGAGAACAATCCAAAGTGAAGGAACAATTGCATACTTACTGGATCAGTCAGCATAGTTCTCAGATGTGATGACAAAGCTAGTACTGCCAAACAGTTAAAGAGAACACCATTGATCACTGAGTACCAAAAGTCTTTGGAAGGCAGCAACATGACAAAAGTCACTACAAAGTCTGCATAGACAACCAGAAGCCATGTCATTATAGCACAGACCATACCGCAGCAATCTCGGATGAACCAAACCCTGTCTGCCATGTTGGCCTCTGAGGAAGAGGAATCGTAGCTGTCATTTTCAGCAAGAAGCAGGTGGTGCTCAGCATTGTGAAATCTGTGCCCTGGTGACTGCATGGTTTTTTGGCCTTGCCCTGCAGGAAGCAAAGATACATTATTATGCTTGAGGAAACTGGAAATACAGGTGACTCATTTATTATTTGTGCAAGATAAAACATATCCCAGTTGAAAATAGATTACTGATTTAAAATAAAAACCTGAACAACTCTATGACTACGTAAAGATTAAATATTTCTGTGATGAAAAGATACTAATTTACAAAGTTTCAGCAACAACTTCATAAGCCATTTTCTGAGTTTTATAATACCATAAAATTTTTATTTTATCACTTGGGTTTGAATGGCAAGGTTTTAGTAGCAGGAGGGTGCTACAGGGGTGGCCTCTGGTAGAAGCTGCTAGAAGCTTCCCTTATGTCCAACATAGCCAATGCAGCCAGCTCCAAGACAGACCTGCCACTGGCCAAGCAAGCCCACCAGTGACAGTGGTAGCACCTCTGGTATAATACAGTTAAGAAGGGGGGGAAACCCCACCCTGTAGAACTGCAGCTGGAGGAGTAAGAATGTGAAAGAAACAGCTCTGCAGACACCAAGGTCAGTGAGGAAGGAGGGGAGGAGGTATGCCAGGCACCAGAGCAGAGATTCCTCTGCAGCTCATGGTGCAGACCATGGTGAGGTAGGCTGTGCCCCTGCAGCCCATGGAAATCCACAGTGGGGCAGATATCCACCTGCAGCCTGTGCAGGACCCCACACTGGAGCAGGAGAATGCCCGAAGGAAGCTGTGTCCCAGTGGGAAGCTCATGCTGGAGCAGGCTCCTGGCAGGACCTGTGCCCCTGTGGAGAGAGGAGCCCACAGTGGAGCAGGTTTGCTGGCAAGACTTGTGACCCTGCAAGGAAGCCATGCTAAAGCAGTCTCTTTCTGAAGGACTACACCCCAGGGAAGGGACACATACTGGCATAGCTCATAAAGAACTGTAGCCCATAGGAAGGACTCACATTGAAGAAGTTTGTGGAAGACTGTCTCCTGTGGGAGGGACCCCACACTAGAGCAGGGGAAGAGTGTGAGGAGTCCTCCCCTGAGGGGGAAGGAGCCACAGAGACACCGTGTGATGAACTGACCACAACCCCTACAAGCCGCTGAGGGGGAGAAGGTAGAGAAATAGGGAGTAAAATTGACCCCAGGAAGAAGGGAGGGGTGGGGGGAAGGTATTTTAAGATTTAGTTTTTATTTCTCATTAACCTACTCTAATTTGATTTGTAATAAGTTAAACTAAATTTCCTAAGTCAAGTCTGTTTTGCCCATGATGGTAATTGGTGAGTGATCTCTCCCTGTCCTAATCTCACCCATGAGCCTTAGGTTATATTCTTCTCCCCCGTCCAGCTGAGGAGGGGAGTGACAGAGCAGCTTTGGTGGGCACCTGGTGTCCAGCCAGGGTCAACCCATCAAAATCATACAACTTCAATGCTTGACAAAGTGATTTTAGAATGGTTACATTTCCACCTTTGTGTGCCTGTAAACCATTCTTCCTCTTCTGCTGGAAACGTAACCTTTTCCATTTAGCTCAAATTAAAATGGCAAAGCCTTCATTAAATTACAGTTCCTGTCTCTCAGTAAACAGCAAGTAATGGCACCAGACTGTTGGCTTTTCATACTTCTCCAGCAGCCCAGGGAAAAGCAGAATGAAATGCAGAATGGAAATAAAGCTGTTTAGTACACTGTTCACAACAAACAACACTGCAAGTTAGTAAGCAGCTAAACTGGTTGACAAAAGTGCTACTGTGTTGAAAAAAACCAAAATCCTGATACAAAGATATATTGGATAACTTACAACATGGTGTCAGATCAGACCAAACTTCAGGGAAACCAACGGTAGTGGTTAAATTAGCATGGCAATGGACTACATGAATCAGATTTTCAAAGAACACGTTAATTTCATAAAAACCCTTCTAGGACTTTGTTGTTGTTCCAACATGGAACAAAACCAAGACTTGAAACCTTGACAGTTTTTATGAAAATAGAACTATTTTTCAGATGTCTCTATCAAGCAAAGATATGGTATAAATTAAGTGCTATCAACAAACAGGAGACAAATTTAAGCTTTAACATTATGTGTCAAGAAAAGCATGCTCACTCACTCCCCACCCCTTTCCTCCCCCTGCTCCTGGAGGGATGGGGAGAAGAATGGAAAGAATGTAACTCCCAGGGGTTGAGATAAGAACAGCCCAGTAACTAAGGTATAACACAAAACCACTACTGCTATCACCAATAATAATAATGATAAGGGAAATAACAAGGGAAGAGAATACAACCACTCACCACCCACTGACCAACACCCAGCCTGACCCAAGGAGCAAATGTGGGCCTTCCGGGTAACTCCCCCAGTTTATATACTGGGCATGACGTGCTGTGGTATGGAATACCCCTTTGATTAGTTTGAGTCAGGTGTCCTGTCTCTGCTTCCTCCCGGTTTCCTCTCCTCCCTGGCAGAGCATGAGACTCAGAAAGTCCTTGGTCAGAGTAAACATTAGTTAGCAACAAATAAAACCATTGGTGTTATCAGCATTGATCCCAGGCTGAAAGTCAAAAACACAGCACTGCACCAGCTACTAAAAAGAAGAAAAATAACTACTACTGCTGAACCCAGGACAGTATCCATCCCTTATTCCATACCATTCACGTCATGCTCAGATCCCACATTTTTCAATATACCATCACTCTTGTCTCATATATATATATAGATATCTCTCCACACAAACACAAACAGAGAGATAGGATTCCTTAGTGCATGGACCAATCCCTATAAAGCTGCTGAGTTTGTCAGGTCCATGATGTCAGGCTCCATTTCTTCAAACTGGAACTCGTCTGGTCACTGCTGAGCTCATCTGGTTTCATCAAAGTTCATTCTTTGTTGGGATGATGGTTGGAGGGAAGTCAGGGTCAGTCCCTGGTGACCTGAAGACATCTAGTTGGTGGGCTATAAAAGTGCTACATAGTAGACAACAGCATACAGTTGAGTTCACTGGCAGTTTTCCCCCAAAATCAAATCCCCTTGAGGTACACATCCGCCTTCCTCATCTTCCTGCATTACCCAACAAGTATGTCCAGGTCCCTGAGCAAAAGCAATCGCATGAGTGGGTTTGCCTTTACCTGAAGCAGGAATAACCCTGACTGTCTTCCAAACAAATTCCTCAGGTGTGTGCAACACAGGAACTTGATTGCCTTCTACAATATGTAAAAAGTTCTGGCTGGGCTGGGCCAGCCCTGTTGGAAGATCCTCTAGTGTTGACCAACCAGGTGGCTTTTGGTAAATGTGCATCCCAATGTTTGAAAGTCCCACCACCCATTGCTGTCAGTGTAGTTTTTAACAGCCCATTGTACCGTTCGATTTTCCCAGAGGGTGGGGCATGGTAGGGGATGTGATATACCCACTCAATGCCATGCTCTTTGGCCCAAAGGTCTATAAGGTTGTTCCGGAAATGAGTCCCACTGTCTGACTCAATTCTCGCTGGGGTGCCATGTTGCCACAAAATTTGTTTCTCAAGGACCAGGAGAGTGTTCGGGGGAGTGGCGAGGGGCACAGCATATGTTTCCACCCATCTGGTGGTTGCTTTTACCATAGTAAGCACATGGCACCTGTCGCGGCACATTGGCGGGAGTATGATATAGTCAATATGCCAGGCCTCCTGATATTTGTACTTCAGTCATCGTCCTCCATACCAAAGAGACTTTAACCTCCTGGACTGATTAGTTGCAGCACATGGTTCACACTTGTGAATAACCTGGGCAATAGCGCCCATTCTTAAATCCACCCCTCGATCACAAGCCCTTCTGTATGCTGCATCTCTGCCCAGATGGCCTGAAGTGTCATGGGCCCACTGGGCCAAAAATAATTCACCCTTATGTTGCCAATCTAAGTCCATCTGAGCCACTTCAATGTTAGCAGCTTTAACCACTTGCTGGTTGCTCTGGTGTTCCTCATCGGCCCAACTGCTGGGTACATGAGCATCTATGTGACTTACCTTCACTATGAGGTTCTGCAACCGGACAGCCATATATTGCCACAGTACAGCAGCCCAGACGGGTTTACCTCTGCATTGCCAGTTACTCTGCTTCCATTACTGCAGCGACCCCCACAGGGCATTTGACACCACCCATGAGTCACTATAGAGATAAAATACTGGCCACTTTTCTCGTTCAGCAATGTCCAAGGCCAGTTCGATGGCTTTTACCTCAGCAAACCCTATCTTTCTGCAGTTTCTGCAACTTGTCATAGGGGACTCCATACAGCTGCCTTCCATCTCTGATGCTTTCCCACAATATGGCAAGACCCATCAGTAAACAAGGCATACTGCTTTTCACTTTCTGACAGTTTATTATATGGTGGGGCCTCCTCAGCACACACCACCTCCTCCTCTGGTGACATTCCAAAATCTTTGCCCTCTGGCCAGTCCATGATGGCTTCTAGAATTCCTGGATGAGTGGGATTTCCGATTCGAGCATGTTGTGTAATTAGTGCAGCCCATTTACTCCATGCAGCATTGGTTGCATCATGTGTAGAGGAGACCCTGCCTTTGAACACCCAGCCCAGCACGGGCAACCAGGGTGCCAGGAAGAGCTGTGCTTCAGTGCCAGTCAATTCCAAAGCAGCTAGAACCCCTTCATAGGCTGCCAGTATCTCTTTTTCAACTAGGGTACAACTGGCCTCAAATCCTCAGTATCCCCGATCCCAAAAGCCGAGAGGTTGACCTCAAATCTCCCCTGAAGCTTTCTGCCAGAGGTTCCAGGTAGAACCATTCTCCCCAGCTGCAGTGCAGAGTACATATTTTACATCCGGCACAGTCCGGACTGGTCCCAAGGCTACTGAATGAGCTACCTCTCATTTAATTTGTTCAAAGGCTTGCTGTTGCTCAGGGCCCCATTTGAAATCATTCTTCTTCTGGGTCACATGATAGAGAGGGCTTACAATCAAACTGTAATTTGGGATGTGCATTCTCCAGAACCCCACAACGCCCAAGAAAGCTTGCGTTTCTTTCTTGTTACTTGGTGGAGACATTGCTGTCATCTTGTTGATCACATCTGTGGGGATCTGTCTACATCCATCTTGCCATTTTATTCCCAAAAATTGAATCTCCTGTGCAGGTTCCTTGATCTTACTCCGTTTTATGGGAAAACCAGCTTTCAGCAGGATTTGGATTATTTTCCTCCCTTTCTCAAAAACATCTTCCCCTGTATTGCCCCACACGATAATGGCATCAATGTATTGCAGGTGTTCTGGAGCTTGCCCCTGTTGCAGTGCAGTTTGGATCAGTCCATGGCAGATGGCAGGGCTGTTTCCACCCCTGGGGCAGTCAGTTCCAAGTGTACTGGACACCCCGCCAAGTAAAAGCAAACTGTGGCCTGCACTCTGCTGCCAAAGGAACCGAGAAAAATGCACTGGCAATATCAATTGTGGGATCCCACTTGGCTGCCTGTGACTCCAGTTCATATTGAAGTTCTAGCATGTCTGATACAGCAGCACTCAGCAGTGGTGTGACTTCATTCAGGCCACGATTGTCTACTGTCTCTCCACTCTCCGTTAGATTTTGGGACTGGCTATAAGGGGCTATTAAAGGGTGCTGGTACTGCTGATCACTACTTTGCTCTCCATTCTACAGATCAGCTTATAACAAATACGATTAGATACATTCTGGTCAGATCTGTTATGTCTACCCTTCGTGCTCCACTTTGGGCACCACAAAGAACTGTTATGGTTTAAGCCCAGCTGGCAACCCAGAACCACGCAGCCGCTCGCTCACTCCCCCACTTCCTCCCACCACTCCCAGAGGGATGGGAGGAGAATCAAAAGAATGTAACTCCCATGGGTCGAGATAAGAACAGTCCAGTAACTGAAGTATAACACAAAACCACTCCTGCTGGCACCAATAATAATAATGACAAGGCATATAACAAGGGAAGAGAATATGACCACTCACCACCTACCGACCGATACCCAGCCCAACCTGAGCAGTGATCTGGGCCTTCAGGGTAACTGCCCCCAGTTTCTATATTGGGCATGACGTGCTCCTTGGTTAGTTTGGGTCAGGTGTCCTGTCTCTTCTTCCTCCTGGCTTCCCCTTTTCCCTGGCAGTGCATGAGACTCAGAAATGTCCTTGGTCAGCTTAAACATTACTTAGCAACAACTAAAACCATTGATGTTATCAGTGTTGTTCTCAGGCTGAAAGTCAGAAACACAGCATTGCAGCAACTACTAAGAAGAAACATGACTGCTACTGCTGAACCCAGGACCTCCCTTAATAGCAGCTCGAGCTTATGTTTACCTAAATAAGGCCTGCTTTTCATCCACTTTCCGTTATCCTACCCTTTCTAAATGTTTCCAGTTAAAATTACAATATACGCCAATTCATTTCAATAGCACTTTGTGACATCAACCACTCTTTGTGGTCAAGACTTGTAAAAGAAAATTCAAGTTTGATGAAGCCTACATACTTAGCAGCTGGAACATGCATGTATTATTTCAACAAAAATGGGCATATAAAACTATAGTATAGCCAATGCTCTCCCAATCCTTTTTTCTTTTTACGGCATAGATCACATACGTGCTGTGCAAACCCACCCTCTCATTTCTCAGTGTGAACTATTTGTGTTCCCTCTTCTTCTAAGCGCTGTTCTTCCTTCCCGGAAATAAGGAAAACTAACAGCACAGAAATCAACAAAACTCCCTAGAGCCAGGATACCACTGAAAAGCGTGGTGTGTCAAGCAGTTGCTGTTCCGTCAACTTCCAGCTTCCCATGGCAGCAGCTAAGACTCTACAACATAGCAGTGCTGGGGCACAAGGATGCTTCCCTAAGCTTGTTTCCATGGCTACTGCCAGGTTTTTATTTTTAAATAATCCAAATAGAGGCAGGAGTACAGCCAGGACCGAGAAACACCCCGTTAAGACCTGGCACCAAGCGCCAGAAAGGACAGGGACCTGAGGGGCGCCCAGCTCTCAGCCCGACCTGCCCGGAGAGGCTGCTGATCCCGATAACCTACCCCGCCCGTCCTTCGCCAAGGCTTCACCGAACTCCCACGCTCCCTCTCTGCAGGGCCCGGCCTCCGCCAGAGCCGGGGGGGAGCGCAAAGGAGGATCCGCGGCGGCGGGCGCCCTGAGGGGAACCGGCTCGGTGAGAGGACAGCGGCCCGGGAAGGGAAGGGAACGGGAGTGGATTTACCTCAGTGGCGGCGGCCCTACTACTCTCAGAGATGAAGCTGATGCCGTACCGACAGCACAATGAAAAAAGCCGGAGCCAAACCCCGTCCGTCTGTCCCCGGACGCTCCGCAGAGTCAAGAACTCCCGGAAGCGGGAAGTGCAGCCCCGCAGGAGGCGGAAACCAAGCTTGCCGAGCTGAACAGGCACCGCCCCTTGAGGGGCTGACCGCTGGCCGCGGCCAGTTGTGTGTATGCGCGTCTCGAGGGGGACGTCTTTGGCCAGGCTGCCGGAGAAAGGCGTGGCTGTGTGTGAGCCTGGGAGGGCTGAGGTGGGAGTTGTGTTCTTAGTTTCTGTGCGCTCAAGGCTCTGCCGCTTCACGTTCTTCCCGCCAGATTGACAAGCAATCGTCATGTGAGGGTGGTACCTCTGTTGCAGAGTGAAAGTGTGGGGCCTGCTGGCAGGGTGGCTCCGGCCCCGTGCTCACTGGAAGCGCCCATGCCATTGGGTGAAGCCCTCCCTGCGTCCATGGTGGTGCTGCTGCCCCGGGGAGCTGGCCCCTGGCCAGTCCTGCCTCGTCCCGTCGAAGCCCTCGTCACCAGCAGCAGCACATCCCCTTGCACCTGCCATAACAGAATACAGACCTAGTGGGGTTCTCTTCAGTTCTTCTATGAGGGATTTTTCCTTTATGCCTAAACAGGTTTTTGTGGGGGTAGTTTGTTACAGTTCTTTGTTACTTCAGGGCGTCTCAGGAGGGTGATTTGGCACTGAAGTCAAGAGTGTTCACTAAAGTTGATCAACCTAGGCTTCAACATAAGGACTTGAATTGGGCAGTTATATATGGAAGTAAAAAATGGACTTTTTACAAGGACGTGGTGATAGGACAAGGGAGAATGGCTTTAAACTGACAGAGGGGAGATTTTGATCAGATATTAGGAAGAAATTTTTCACTATGAGGGTGGTGAGACACTGGCACAGATTGCCCAGAGAAGCTGTGGCTTCCCCATCCCTGGCAGATTTCAAGACCAGGTTGGACGGGGCTTGGAGCAACCTAGTCTAGTGGAAGGTGTCCTTGCCTGTGGCAGGGTGTTCGAACTGGATGATCTTTAAGGCCCCTTCCAAACCAAACCATTCTGTGATTCTATGAAATACTACTTTATGACACTCATTCAGAATTTTCCATTAGGAAAAATACATGCCCAGTAGCTTTAAAAATTTGATGAAAAATACTAAACCTTGCAGTGTGTGAGCTGAGGATGCATTTGAAACACAAAGATAAAAACGCTGAAGGATGACAAAACAAAATTACGGCATCTTGGGCACGTTTCTGCATCGTTTTTATCTTGCAGCGTGAACACCATCTAGTGGGACTTGGGCAGCAAGTGCATGAGTGGCTGTGCATGCTGCAAGTACAACATTCAGCTACCCATATACCTGTGTGCTTCTGCCTTTTTTTTTTTAATTTCCAAATGCTTCTGTGCTGAAATATTAAGGACTTCAGAAAAGCTTGGGTTTCTATCTCCTAGCAGCTGGGTTTCACATGCAAAAAGAAATTTTCGATGCCAGTATCTCCGCTATTCAAATGAAAGTATGTAAACATCTATAGACACAAAATCATAAGGGCTGATCTTTTTCTAAAACTTTTTCCCTCCATGTTTTCCCTTAATATAACTAATGTCATTTAGCCAGGAGTAAAAACAAAATGAAGAAAAGCATTTTTTCTTGGGTACATGCTTACAGGGGGGTGCAGTGTTGATTATAGTGAGCTTAAGCCTTGAGAAAACTTGATGTCCTTGAGCTTTTATCTCAGTAACGATGGTTACCCAGAAACTACAAAAAAGTTAGGTACTGTGTTGGGCTTGATTTTTTTTTTAGCATTGTCAACTAGACAGGACTCTGTATGTTGTCACACCCTGGAGGTGTGTATACTTCAGCAGTTCCTACACATGCTTTATCCCTGAGAGCTTCTAATTCAGTGGAAGTTTTGCAATCGATTTCCGTGGAACTGATGTTTACTAACTCCTCGCTGCAGTGTAAGTAGTGAGTTTGTCCACTGGATGGTGCATGACTTATTTCTGCAGCTCTGAGGTAGCCTAAATATCGTTTGTCACACTGGCCATATGACACTGGCAAACAGAGCATCTCCAGATGCAAATGCAGGGAGAAAAGCTGTACAAGACAAGTCGTTTATTTGACAATTTTTAAAGAAATATATATATAACATATAATGACATATAACTTAAATATAGGCTGAAACCAGGAAATTCTCTCTGAGATCTGAGTTTTCCTGAAGTATAGGCATGTCTGGGTTGCATACTACAGGTGTGAGTCTAGCCATTATTTCTGGATGTAGTTCTGAAAATCCAGTTACATTTGCAGCTCTCTGAGGAGGAAAGGCTGTGATGCATTTTTTTATGTTGCTTTGATTTCTGCTTGAACGTTGCTAGAAACACTGGGTGGCTTTGCACAGCACACAGAGTCAGTGCTCACTGCAGTGCAAAGATCCTGAGAACCAGCTTGGAACTCAGAGCCACACTTCATCTGATTTTGCAGGCCCTTGATTTCTCAGGGTGCCAAAGTACTTTTTTTCTGATGGAATATAGTCCTAGCATACCAATTTCCCTTGCCAGGCAGCTGGGTTTAAAAGAGGTAGCGCTGTTTAAAGTGTTCACTGCACAATGAGAAGTTTGATGGTCAATATTGCAGATGATCAAGAGCAATCTATCAAACTTATGCTAACCAGAAATTCTTAAATTCAGCTTTCTTTGTTGTCTGTATTTTTAGCACCATGCATCAATTGCAGTTTCTTCATTTCCTCCCAGACTTAAAACCAAGCATTTGAATATTTTCCTTCCCACTTCTTTGTTAAGCATGGGGAGCAGGTCTTAGACTTGTTTTAATGTGCACAGGATTGTATTTGCCATGCTAAAAACATTACCAGACATGTCAGGACTTTGGTTCTTCTGCAAGCCCTGCTGTTTTGGAGCCTGTTTCCACAGCAAACGATATTACCAAGATAAATTGTTTGCCAGAGATAACTTCAGGTCCACAAACAATTTACCTAAGAAATGTTGAAACATAACACTGTACAAATCAATTTTTTTCCGAGCTTCCTGTCCTCATAGGAAGGAACAGCACTTATCTCTGTTGCAGATTGCATAGAGGCAGCCACAATACCTTTACTGGTGTGTGGGTGAGACTTAGGGGAGTTTCTGAATCCTTCACATGTCAGAGGAACATATGAAATATTCATGCCCCATTTATCCTCCCCTTAGAAATGCAAATACTGAAATTCACATGATTTGTATGAGGAGTCTAGCAGTTTGGTAAAGGGCAGTAAAGATGCTCATGGATTGCATTATGGAGAAAAGGGAGAGTTTACAAGAGTGACATTTGCCCAAGGCCCTTCCATCTCCAGCAGACTAGATCTGCTGCGGGTTTAATTATTTGTGAAGTCCCAAAGGTTTGTCATTTGTGTGGAATTTTACCCATTGAATACTGCTTGGTGTCAGTACTGGGTTTAAATTCTAACTAAAAATAAAAGCTGGTTTTCATAATATATTTCCTTTGCATCCTTTCTCTGTGCTGAACCATTCCTGCTGTGCTGCAGGTGCAGGGTGATAACATTATGCAACATCTCCTATTTTTAGACCATTTTCAGCCCATCCATGACATAATCTGAAGTAAGAAAATAACCTTTTTTTTCTCTGGTTCTCTGCCTGCTCTGTGTGGTTGACTTTAAGATGTACCCCTTCAGTATTAACTGAAGAATGGTGATTTACAGAAATACATTTCTGAACCTCATTGTCTTTATCTCTGGTACCTTCTGCTTTTTAGTTCCTGCCCTTCTTATTTTGATTAGATGTGGTCTATAGATAGCAATAAAGCAATACAGAATGGTTGTGCCTGGTCTCAGAAAAAGGGCAACTGTGTAAAAATAAGGAAGCTTTTTAAGGAGGTAAAAGGAACATCTAAGACAATAAAAGCTTTTGAAGGATAGATAGAGACATGATCATAGAGGTGGAGTAAGCACACATCAGTATCAGAAAAGCTTAGCTAAAGGGCAAAATAAGCAGCAGAAATAAGGAGGTTATTAAATACAAGTTGCATTCAGAGAAGAAAATCGAAAGAACCAGAAGCACTGATTCATTAAACACAGACCACAGCAGAGGTGGTTACAAAACCAAACTGAGGGACAGTTGAGATGAGGCATAAAAACATACAACAAATGCTATTTCAAGTAACAGGAAGTCCCCTGAGAAGCCTGTAGAGCTAATAGGGAGTCAAAACACTCAGCAGACAAAAGAAAGCATGGGTTTTGAGGGGCACATCTTTCTCCAAAGCAAGGTCAGCTACACTTCAACGACCCCTGAGAGGTTGGGGGAGTTTTTGTGTAGGAAAATGAGACTAAATACTTGTTAATTACAAAAGGAATAAAAATACCTATTGTACAGTGTGGAGACAGTGTTCTCACAGGAGAATGGATAATTATTACATGAACTCTGAATAATCCCGAAAGATACAGCAAAGCCATGAGAGGCCCAAGGAAGCTTAAGCAAGCAAGAAAAGAAGCAGCTGGAATTCACTGAGTTATGAGAACTGTGGACTGTTGGCAAGCTTTCGAGGTCAAGTTCTCACACCTGTGCTTAACCAAATATATGTTAGTTGCTAAGGGTCTTCAAGACATGTATCCAATCATAATATGCCAAATCACTGTGTTTGTAAGCAATAGTATATAAGGAGTTAAGGCTTTGCAATAATTGGCTTTTGTCTGATCATATTGATCTTGGACTGAGTCCATATTTTTTCTGTGGCAGTACAGCCAGCCCAAAGCCTTAATTAATACAGCTTCTAGAAATTGTACTTACAAGAGATGCTGGAAGGTTGCTTACTGTGGTTTATTTTTTGGTGTCTTAAATGAAATGGGCTGACAGATGGGCTGGACCTGGTGGTGGGAGCTGAGAGCCTGAGAAAACAGGGTCAGAAACCTGCAATAGGAACTGTGATCTGAATTGAAGAGATGGAAACCCTCAGCTTTGGGGAGCAGCTGCTGATAAGGCCCTAGTGCTCCCTGACAAACCCGGGGGTGACCCTGAAACCTACTGCTC